TGTGTCTGAACGGCGCGTGACCACGGAAAAGAGAGTGAGCGCGGCTATAGCCGGCCAGTTCTCGATCGGCGATTTTCGGCAGGAAAAAAAAAAAAAACGAATATTCAGCCGCAAATTGTGTTTTGGATATAGACAATTGCAAGCATGGCGCCACAAGTGGTGCCCCATGCGTGCAAGCGCGTGCAACGCGCGGGTGAACGTAGCTTTGGCAAGCTCGTAATCGCACGGGCGTGCCTCCTCGAGCAGAGACATGGCGGCGGCCAGTCGCCCAGCTTGCAATCGTCTATAGCTAAGCTCTGATATGTCATGTACAAAAAAACAAAAACCAAAAACTGGGCGATTATAAACACCCTGTCATACAGATTTTCAAAGATACATCATTATTTGTGATGAACATTATTCCTTACAAAATATTTCGTACGGCATTGAGCTGGTAGTGCTCTTTATTATATGTACAATTTATTTATCGAGCGATTGTTGCTGTGATTAGTATTGTAACCAACATAACGTTTTACAACATCGTGGTCTAGCTTTTGCTTTCCTATTAATTCTGTCTTTTACATCCAGTTTCTTATGGCGCTGCAGGTATATAAATAAATAAACAATGCGCATAGTTTTGATCCGAAAATAGTTCTACCAGGACTTAACGAGACACAGATAGCGTCTTGACTCAACGGGCTAGTTTACGCTTCTGCTCAGGGATTCACACGACAATTCCCAGAGTATAACCACGAGGACAAATCCAGTCGTCGTATTCCTCCAATAATGTATCCAATAATGTATGTAATAATGTCCAATAATGTACGTTCAATGCCTCGTTTCGCGTCAGCGGCCATGGATACAAAGCCATGGAGGTCTCTGCAGCAGCTCTGATAAACGATATTAACGAGTACTAGTTCCTTTATAACAAGTGGCACCCCTATTTGAACACGCGACCGAAAAACACCTCGGCCTGGCAGCAAATCCGAGGCGCTTGGCCTGACAGGTATACGTATCAGTACCGCGGAAGCTCGAGTGAGTTCACGCTAATGTAGCGGGTTTGCGTTCATTGTACGGTTGCGAAGGGCCCATGGCTAATATCACGAGTCTTTCTCTCCTGGCGAAAACGACGAACTTTTAGCTGTGTGGCAGCAAATGTGGGAGAGCAGCGAAACGCGAGCCCGAATTCAGGCGGGAAGGACGAAATCAACGCAATCGACGGATGTTTCCGAGAGCTTCCGAAAAGCGGTTGCGCTTTGCCGATCACCCGCAGTGCGGACGTCGGTGGTCGCTTGTCGCTACGTCGATCGCGCGGCTGGTACTCTCTGAAATATTCCTGCGCGTTTACTTACCCGCGAAACAATCGAAGAGCTAATCTCTGGGATGTACGAAATCAGCTCAGCAAATGATAAAGCGGAACATCTGTTTAGACTGGGAGGCACTCAGTTGATCGAATGACGTTTTAGCGAACGCCCACGTTTCACCGAACGACACTTTAGCGAATAGTCGGACGCCGCCAAGCGGCGTTTTCGGGTGGGCCAAGTGGGTTCACATTTTTGTAATGAGCCACCGCAGACCGTCGCCGCGAAGCGGCGTTAAGCGCAGCGCGGCGGATGGTTTAACGCGCGCCCCCGCTATATTCGCTAAAACGTCGATTCGCTCAAATGTCGCTGTTCGCTAAAACGTCATTCGCTCCTGTGATATGGACCCGTTTAGACTAGTCTGCGCTGTGGCATTACGCAATGCAAGCATGACGCTTTTCAAGCATTACGCTTTGCATTGCGTAATGCCACAGCACAGACATCATTTTGAGGTTTAAACGGATGTTTCGTCTCGTCATTCGCTGAGCTTCGTAGGTCGCAGAGATTGGTTTTTTGAGTGTTTTGCGGGTAAGTAGTCCCGCGGGCCGTTTTGTAGAGTGTGCGAGTCGCATGTATGAACGCGCCTAAGTCCGGACGCAGCCCAGCGTCAAAAGTGCAACGTCATCATGTTCGTCAAGTTTCTGTATGTGTTCTGTCATCGCTAAACCAATCTTATGCAGGGAACTGGCCAGTGACTCGCTCTTTTAGTTTGCTTGTTCATGGTTGCACGTGGCCGTGCCTTTGACTGCGCTCCGACATATGATAAAACGAAGTATAGCTATACTTGGTTTCACCTCAGGTCAGAGCGCGGTCATTGGAGGAACATACCAACACGAAGACTTATACTAAAAACGCAAGGTTGCGGCGTATTCATTGGGCATTGTTGGCTTATCGAATGATAGCACACACACAAAGACATGACGGGCGCGTGACATTGCGTGTTTGACGCTGCTTGATTTGGGTCATCAGTTCGTAAAGTTCACTGCGCTCGAACTGTAAAAGGAACAGTATAGTAGTGTAGTATGAGAATTCGGATGGGTCGGTAGATGGCGTAGAGGTTATATTTTAGGCGAGCTCTACATGTTGTCCAATCTACAGGCGATAGAAAATCAATATCGGTACTTTCTGAACATCCAGTGACTCGACTGTATTGAAGTCCATGCTCAGAGAGTTAGGCACTGCAGAGCCGCAACGTTGACTTGCCCTTGAAATTCACTTGAATTCTACTGATGATGACTGTCTCCTCTTAAACTTCATACACGCTGAGAAAGAGCGTGTGCATTCACTTTTCTACAGAATACAAGGCAGCCATGCGCCGCGAAAAACGGAAAGATCCCAGAGAATGGCGAAATGGCGAAGTTCAGTTTATGGACCTGAGAAATGCGATGTGTGCAGCAACAGGTAAGGCGCATACACACATATCCGTTTGAGCGCGATGCGTTCAGTTGCGGCAGTCGGCTGCAGAATGTTGAGGAAAGCGTTTGCGACAAACTTGTGCACGCAGCTGCGTTGGGTCGCAGTCGACTGAAGTCAAGAGCCAACGAAAACGCGCTATTGTCGCTTGTGGCTCACCAATAGTAAGCGAAACCTACGGCAACATGGCGGCGCCCAGCCACAGCGTCAAGGTAGATCGAGGTGACCGATCTTGGTACGTTCCTGCTGGCCATCGCAGCCTTTGAAAAACAAAAAACAAAAAAAAGCTGCGATGGTTAAAGTTAGAGCAGACGCTCCGAGCGGGAAAAACGCGAAACCAAATGCAAAGTACTTCTTTTTTTTTCTTTTCTTTGATGTCCATCGCTGACGTTGACGGGCGCGGGCGTGCACGTGACTCTCTCTTTCTTTTATCGGCTTCTAATTAGTCTACTGCAACGCGACCCTGCAAAGTTTAGCAGGCTCTACACTCTTGCATCGCGCTGGGGAGCGCTGCAGTGCGCGACCGCGCGCTTCGTACCGCAAGCAGCCGCTTCCTGCTGCAAGGACGCCGTTCCGCACTCAAACGCCTTCAAATGTCTGTACGCAACTTCATTCTAAAAAAAAAGCCCGTGTGTCTACTTTCCCTCACAACACTGGAAGAGCCGATCACCGCAATTTACGGAGGCAGCTCAGCGAATGACGATGCCGAAATATATGTTTAGATAAAAAAACGCGGTCTGAGGTGTGACATTAAGCAACGCAAAACGTCACGCTGGCATTGCTTAATGTCACAACTCAGACTGCGTTTTTTGCTCTAAACAGATGTTTCGGCATCGTCATTCGCTGAGCTGCCTCCTTAAGTTGCGCTGATTCGTTCTCCGAGTGTTGTGCGTGAAAGTAGATGCACAGACTTTTTTTAGAGTGCTCTTTCCGTTGACCTTTCTTCGCAAACTTCAGGATTTGCAAGTCATCCAGGCTGATAAGTCGTTCAAGAAACTTTGGAAATTTTCCTTTTTTTTTACATAAAAACAATAAGCAATAAAACACAGTGTCTGCTAAACCAAGCCCATACAAAGCAGAACCTCAAAGTACAAACGTCATACATTTACAACGTACGCCTTAAAAGAGAAACCTATAATTGTACATCATTTAAGAAAAATTAAAAGAGGACCAAAGCACAATGGCACGCAGAAGCAGAACCTTACGACAAAGTGACTCTCTTTTTATTAATTCACGAGATTTCGTTAACGGATAAAACTTCGGTATTTTCTTGCTACAATAAAAAATATAAAAAGTAACTTCGAAAGCGATTCGCAACTTTTTACGGTACTTAATAATTTACTCGACTACTTTATAATTGAGTAACTTCTACTCTACTCAAGTTAATTTTGACGCCGATACTCAGTAACTTTACTTGTTTTAGTAAATTGTATATGTTTGGTATGGGACTCAAAGGATCCTGCGGTAGTACGCGACTATCAGCGCACGCAACTGGCTTCCAAATGTGAGCTCCCACCTGACTTCACGACGTCACGGTTCCTGAATAAATTTAAACTTGTCTCGATCTTTCTAATCAATCAGGGAAGTATATGAGTGTGTCGTGCGTGCAACGCCTCCAAAACCACCCAAAGCGTTTTGTAGACTAGCATAACAAATCAGAACGCAGACATACACGTCAAATTCCTTAATCCCCGGGTTTATGAGTGACAAAAACCACCTCAATCTTCTTTTTTTTTTTTTTTTTTTAATTGTACCTACTTGTACTTTTTTTGTATATCATTGATATGTTAATTGTCGTAGACGCCGTACCTCTGAGGCAACGAACCTCTGAGTCTGAGGTAACCTTCACCTCAGTTGTCCCACTGAGCAAAAATACCAAAATGGGGCGCCGGGTTGCTTCGTTTCCCAATCAAGTGTCCCAGCACCCGACCTCCACTTGGGAGACGACCGGGCCACCAGACTGTCCGGAAAGGGTGCTTTCGGCGGATTCCCTCCGTTGAAGAACTCCGGCCGGGGTGGCACCGTGAACCCCTCGCGCGCGGCGAGCCGAGGGCCGAGGTGAGCCTGAATGGCCAGACGGGCCTGACGTCACCCGACGTCACGCGGAAGCGTTAGGGAGGCGGTCTGCGCTGCCCACTCTCGCCACGCCCCCCTGAAGACGTCACAAAGCGCTCAATGGGAACCCAAAAGTTTCGGAGAGGGTTGTGCGGAGAAGGGTTCCGTCGAGTATAAAAAACGCCGCGCAATTTTTCGGACGGACGCTCGGCAGCCGACGAGGATCGCCTTCAAGAGCCCGCCACGAAAAGTGAGTAGGGGATTCATTCTTTGGGGAAGCGGACGAGACGGGCGCCGAACCAAAGACACGGCGACTGAAGCGCTGTCTCTGTGGAAAGCGTCCGCGTAGTCTGACTGTGCAGTCAGCCAACTTTCCACCCAACAACGCATCGGTGCACCATAACCATAAATGATTTAGGAACCTAGAGTTTTCGAACAGTTCGAAGAACATATTTATTACGTACGCTTTTATTTAAGCGTAACACTAAACATTTTAGTAAAATGTCCTGGCCAACGTCGGTAAATAAAAACAAAAACGCAAAAAACAAAGAAAACAGAAAACATTGCTGCGCTTTTTAGAACGTCCCCTGTGGCATACAGCGCGTGCGGGAATACCGCGTAGTTCTCGAAACTTCGACAACCTCGAAATATTTACAGTGACGTAGTCTTGACATTTTTCCCAGTAGAGGTCGCTTTGATGGGTATGAATTTCTGTTTTCACAGTGTATTGATTTTACGCGTCCACCGACGGCATGTTTCGTGGTTGTCCGCGCACATCTCCCAATGTGGGGTCACTTCTCTCGCATGTGAGCGGTATCAACAGGATTGCGTGTCGAACTCTCTTTCAGAGCCCGCGGGCATCCGCACTCTAAAAGAAATGCTACCCTGTCTACATTCCCGAATCGTACTCGCGTTCATGTGCGCAATTTAGACAACAGTCCACTGAGTGAACCCCAGGATAAATTATTTTTGTACTAGGAGTGCTGTTTCGTTAATCGATTCTTTCTGAATTCGAATTGTGCGGTGTTCAACAAACCGCGTCCATCCCACTAATAGGTGAAACGGTTATTTTAAACTTTCTCGATATATTCTTCAAAAGCTAGGAAGTATTGAAATAGAATGATACTTGCATACATCATAGCGGGTTTTTTTGTGTTTTTTTTATGTAGATTTACCGCGTTGCTTAATCGCATTATATTTTTTAAAGCATCCTTTTCGATTGCAAGATTGGGCGTTAAAGCGGGAGCAATAAGATCTATATTTCACCGGTCAAATCAGAAAATTATCTGCGCCAATAGAACCCCGGGTTTTAATCGCATTCCTGGTAAACTTACTTCCAAATTTCTTTTAAAAGCCGGTTGTGTTAACCGACTGTAAAGATATAGAATTCCCATTGATATGAGCAATGTGTTCAACAAATTATGAATGCATGGATTAATGATTGTATGGGTTGAGACGAGGGTTGTAAAATTTACTTAAAAATATACCTAAAATACAGTTACAGTCACTCATACGAAAAGGAACCTAGGTACGTACCTAGGTACTCATTTAAAAATGTACCTAGGTACAGGTCCAGTAATTTCAAAGATACTTTCTTTATTTATTTTTCCCTAATTTGTCAGAATATATTGGAAGCAAAGCTTCTGATACTAAGGATACACACGAAAACGAGTTCTATAAATGTGCTTTATTGGTGTCAATGAGAGAAATAAGGAAAACCGCATTCACATGAGCCGGTGCTGACGTCGACGGGCCCAGAAGACGTCGGCCGCTGGAAGAAACGCATGAGTCGAGTGCATATGCACCTAACCTTCGCGACGAGGAGCAAAAGATTTCAAGCTTATTTGAAATTTTTTTTCATTATTATTTTTTTTTTTTTTTTGTTAGTCGGAAGAAAAGTAAGCTTTTCTTTCTTTCGGAACTTTTTGAGTTTTGAAAACTGCAAAATTTGAGTCCGATTTATTGAGTAAAACTGAATTATATACGAACGATGTTACATTGCTTTAAGATTGCAATTATGATTTATTTTCAATTCTATTTTATATTGTATGCCGAGGAGAGCCACCACCAGGACAAGGTACAGTCAACAAAAACTGCGCACATACTTCAAGTTATCTCCTGCTTTGTGTAGCTGTCAGATGAGCTTCAAACACGCGATGAAGTCGATTTCGGTTTGAGATGAAGGAAGCAGGTCGCTATTTTCCCTAAACGGAGTTCCGAATCGATTCGATAGATTGGTGTCGCTAATACGGCATCTCTAATCCACCGTTCGCTCAAATGAACACCGCCATTCGCTAAAGTGTCGTTCGATGAAACATCATGGGCGGTGCTTCGTTCGCTAAAACGTCGTTCGATCAAGTCAGTGCCTCCCAGGACGTACCCAACTCAACGTTAATTACGGCACATGGTAGTGTGTTAATACTTCAAGATTTATAGTTTCTACCATTTTGACGAAGTGAATAAAAAAAGTACCTGTAAAAAGTAACTTCACTTGGGTACAACTTACTTGAAAATTTACCTAAGATACAGGTACCGAAAAATTAAAGTACCTGGGTTTGCACCTCAGGTACAACCAAAGTACGAAAGTACCTAGATACCGATTTACAGTTACTTGTACCTAGGTACTTTACAACCCTGGTTGAGACACACTGAAGTGCAACCTAGGTTGATAAAAATTAATTAAACGTATTTCTTTCACACCTTTTAGACTCATGTTTTAACTCCTGAAGAGTTTTCCATGGTAGGTTTCGATGTTAGCAGCAAGTTTAGATCTTTTCATATGATATCCGAATTCTCTCCGATGCGATGTTTTAAAAAAAGGGCAGAATAATTGCGAGTCCTTGCAAATCGTAATTTGTTTGTTATCTTTAAAGCTTTTAAAATCTTAAGCTTTCCTGGTTGTCTCTTCTTGTTTTTTTTTATGTTTGCACAATTAATTTTTCTTGCTCATTTTACACAATAGATCTGGTGTTCTCCAAGGATTTTCGACATCGTTTTCAACGATTTCACCCGAAACTAATTGTGCTATTGCATAGGGCAGTAAAGAGTTCTGTAAGCATGTTATAAGCCTCGACTACGCGACGTTTCCGTAATTCAGTGTTCCAATGAGTAGTAAAATTAACTGTCAAGTAGCATCTCGCGTACCTAGCCTTCTGTTTTGAAAATATATGAACCTTTTTTTCATAGTCTTCTGAGGATAATAATTCTTGTGAGGATAAAAGCATTTGAACACGCACGAATACCAGAAGACAGACTTCCATTTGTACGCAAGGCAACCCTCGCTTATTTCACCTGGCTGGCACTGCACATTGCTTTCCCTGCTGACAAATAATGCACAAGTGGTTGAGAGTGACTGTGTGGGTAAATATAGGGTGCTTGAGAATTAAACCAGTTAGCTGAGTTTGAGACGTTCCTGGTAACACGTGGAAAAAGTAAACGAAACTCAACCCCACTGAGACGACATCTTTCTCGCCGAATTCCACAAGCTCCGAATAAAGCCGTTGAATTTGTGATCAACTCGATTTCACCAGGAGCATCAAAACCACAATGTACCATCTTGCGGTCTCTAAAAATACGAAGTGTTTTTTTTTTTTGTTTTTTTTTTTAGGTTTTAGAGATTTTTAAATTTGTGAACATATACCTATGACTTGCATCACAAACTTGCTGAGCGTTATCTAAACCAACTAAATCGGTCAATTTTAGTAAAACTTGGAGCGCGTGGGAAGAGCGTTGGCGCTCTAAAGTTACCAGACATGCAACAGGTGCAAGGCTCTGGGTGCGAAAACGTTCCCGCGCGGTTTCTCCGTCTCTTATCGTCCGCGTTGTTGCAACACCAGCTTTGCGCCTGTTGCGTAAGTGGTAATGTTAGTGCACCACCGTGCTTCCCACGCGCTCTAAATCTTTCTAAAATTGACTGATTTAGTGGCTTTCGATGACGGTCAGCAAGCTTTTAATTTGAACCATACGTTTATCTTCACTAATTAAAAGTTAATTAATTAATTTCAGTTCATTCCCCGACGCACTGTGATGATTGGCTCCATATATTATGTCTCCATGACCACATAGACCAAATTAGTGTAGCTTTTATGACTGTTCTAAAACAAATTTGTAAAGACTTGAAAAAAAAAACTCATTATATTCATACTAACATCAATAGTTTCCAGATGAATGGTTAAAAATAGATTTAAAAACCAGTCGTTACGCGTTGGGTCATTCGTAACTGAAAACTGAAAATCTCCAATAGTATCAAAAACTTCATACATTGGTGTTTATTTCCAAGACGTTTTTCGACTACATTCACATTCCAATTGATAACAGGGAAGAAAAAATCACCAGCCAAAATGATTGTACAGTTAGGAAATTTATTTTGTTATTTGTTAAAGGCTAGAGTTTATATGTACAAATCAGATGACAAGTCGGGCGGACGATTACACGCTCCGATCAAACAAGCTTTGAAGCTTAACCGCACGGTCACCTACAAAGATTTAAGAAGGTATGAATATCCGCAAGAGAAGAAGTTAATTCACTTATAACTTCTTGGTATTCGAACGTAAAAGGAGACAAGGGACACACAAAAAACACGTCCCTCTTTTCGCGTTCGCATACCAAGATGTTGAACCAACACGCTCTCGCGATTCTATCTATGTTCACTTATAACTGCAATGATGACTCCCCCACCTCGTGATTCTCTCCTGTATTTCCTATGGAGCTGAACATGTTTTGATAAGCTTACTGTCTGAAACCTCTTGGGAAAACCATGTTTCAGTGTCCGAAACATTGTCAACTGAGCATGGTATGAGTGCTGGAAAGCAGGTCTTCTTGCTCATGAAGGCCGGATAAGAAGTTTTCCAAAATCAAAGAAAGCTGTTCCCGAAGTCTTTCCTTTGCAGCTATTAATTTTCCGAAGTCATCGGGCGCTTGTTTGGGCAGGCGGGGACCTTGGGAAATATATCACAACATCGTTGTCGGAGTTAATCGGTAGAAAGTATTATCACAGATCGTGTCTATGGGCCGGATTTCATACGAAGTGTCACGCTCGAGTGTGTCGAAAAAGTGTTGCACACACAGGCCAAGGCATAAAGTATAAATACCTCATAGTAGGCAACAGAAAAACTCAAGGCAAATCACTTAGTCTTAATAATTTATACATTAACATACCAAGGGGCTCAGCGAGAAACGAACCGCGGATTCTGCAATCCGCAGCCCGCTCGGCACGACAATGAGGAGGTGAAAGAGGGTGCAAGCAGCTGG